AAAAAAAAAAAAAACAACGCAAAAAACGGAAACAATTTTAAAATCGAACTAAAGACAAGGACGAATTGGAAATACTCTTTGAAACAAAAAAAGATTTTCACAACGATCCTTTTGAGGATTTCAATTTCCCAGCTCTGAAACTTTATTTTAACCCATTCGTTACGATGGCATATGCTTATTTTTTAAACCCCACACCACATAGTGGTAAAGGTATTTTTCGGATACCAATCCGGAGATTGGTGGCCATTGGGCGCTGGAAATGAAGCGAGGAACCTCATTTTGTAACCCTTCTTGGATGGCGCGTTCTGAGTGCGATGGTGATGAGTCCTGTTAGAATGTCCAAGGTCTGAGGCCAAAATGTTTGCTTGCCGAAGGCTTTAGTACACTCTTCAGAATATTTTCGCAATAATATTCTGATGCCACGGTCGATTAATACGAGTGGAGAACGACCATCGGCTGTTATGGCGGCCCACATCATCACCATGGCCGGCGCTTGAGTTCTGGTGACCAACCGAAGGTGCACATTTTCAGCTGACCTCTTTGGCAAGTAAACACGATCATTTTGTTTGCCTTTGTTTACAAACTGTTGGACAACGAATGTTTTTTCATGGAGAAGGATAGTCCCATAGTTACTTTTAAGGATTTTCATAGAATCACTTTCAGAGGCGATTTATGTATGTCAGAGACGTCCTTCTGCCTGTCCATGTATTTTTGTGAAAAAATACAGGTCGCATTTATTATCCAATTGAGATGAAATTTTCCAAACAATTTTTTTTGGCCCAAGGACGAACCCTATTGAAATTGGTGAGAATTGGTTAGAATTTTGGTATAGCTCCCATAAATATTTTCAACGGGTTAATTGGATATCAGTCCAAATGTCCTAAATTTTGGCACATCCAGCCGAATTCAGTCTAAAAGCAAGTATATCAAAATTTGGAGAAAATCGGTTCAGATAGCTATAGCTCCCATATATATGTTTCATCCGATTTGGGGTTTTAAGTGCCAGACATGCGTAATATACATTTCACAAGAATGATATTTAGTACCAAATAACTTATGGAGTTCAAAAATACCCCTGTCATATTTTATCAAGATCGGATCTGATTAGGATATAGCTCTCATGTGTATCTTTATCCGATATCAGGTTTATTATGCACCAAATGGTCAATATCAGTCCAAATGACCAGGATTTTTGCGCATTCGACCGAATTCAGTCTAGAAGCAAGTATTATAAATTTGGTAAAAATCGACTCAGATACATCTATAGCTCCCATAAATACAGGGTGAGATAAAAAAACTGCAAAAAGTCAAATGCCATAATTTTTACATTTTTTTATAAAATTTTATTGAATGAAAGCCAAAAATGTCGGAAATAGCAACAAATTTTAGAATGAGTTTAGATTTGCTCGAATTGGTCAACTTTGACACGAATTGTGGCCTTCAAACGGCCAATGAAACCGTCACATGCTGCCTAAATATTACTCTGCGATGGTACGAGACACAAAAGATTTATCCACATTTAAATGCTGGAGTGCTCTAACGATAGCCACTTGTGGTTTTCGGGCCAAATATATATAGATATCACACTATCACGCTTGAATTCCATCACGAATAAATTTTTTTCTGGAAAATTCTCAACAAAATGCTTTTGTACGCTTGTAAACAATATAATGAGCTGTCACTGGAATAATTTTAACAGCTATCGGACGACTGGCTTAGAAATGACAGCAGTCTGAAGTTGGTTGCAGTTTTTTCATTTAACCCTGTATATATGACCGGAAGAGATAGCATAAAGAAAATTTGCAGCAATTGGGTTAATATATTAGATTTTTTGAAGGTACTTATAAAAAAGAACCCAATAATATAATTTTGAATACATTGCAAGTATTTAATCATAGGGAAAAAATATCAACTTGTAAAACAAAAGACTTAAGACACGAACACGAAAGAATTTATTTAGTGTCACACTTTTTAGATGGCGTTAAGAAGCCCTGGCATCCAAATTCTGCCGTTTCCATATAAAATATTAAACATTATATTGGGTAGTTTCTTATTATGAACTTTAAGGTGAACCCAAATGCTATGATGTATCTACAAAATGTGTAGGGTATATGAATAAAAGATATAAAAAAAATATGTTGTAGGTATCATTTTTAAGTTCTCTTTTTTTAAATATTGCATATCAAAAAAATAAAAACAAACAACAGCATCAACTGAGACGTCAGTGTCTGCATAGGAATCTCTTGACATCAAAAAAAACGAAGAACAAGCAAACAAAACGTCTCAAAGATCAACATCGAAATAATATTGCGTAGGTTGTGTATTAATAAAAAAAAATTATACCCTTTGCGAAAATGCTATTCCAAAGAAGAAGAGACACTAAAAATTGCCACATCTCAACTGAGATAATTTGTTTAAACCTTTAGGGCACTTCACCTACCACAAGATGAGTACAAGGACTACGGCTGTCAGCTGTGTGCAAAATATTCAGATGCTTAAGTTGGTTCTTTGGCAACCTCTTCACTATTGATTTTTTGGGTAGTTAAGGTTTACTTTATTTTGTAAACTGAGTGTGTTCATAGGCAGAATTTTGCGTAATTTTTCTATATCTATGTTCAATAAAATATATTTAGTAACATTCTGAAGGAAACAAAATAAACCTTTTTTTAAACCATATAAACCTTTTGATTATGTCCATTAAATTACATTCTAAGTCGTTTTATGCATCCATGCCCAATTGAAATGAAATTTCCACAGATCCCAAGGAGCCCAAGGAGGAACCTTGTTGAAATTGGTGATAATCGGTCCAAATTTAAAAGTAGGTCCCACATACATCGTGAGATGAAAAAACTGCAACCGACTTCAGACTGCAGTCATTTCCAAGCCACTTGTCCGACAGCTGTTAACATTATTCCAGTGACAGCTCATTATATTGTTTACAAGCGTACAATAGCATTTTGGTGAGAGTTTTCCAGAACAAAGTTTTTCGTGATGGAATTCAAGCGTGATATTGTGATTTTTTTATATTTGGCTGGAAAACCACAAGTGGCTATCGTTAGAGCACTCCAGCATTTAAATGTGAATAAATATTTTGTGTCTCGTACCATTGCTCGTTACCGTGATAGTGGTAGCGTAGCCGGATGTCAAGGAAGTGGACGCAAGAAAACAGCAACATCAGCAGAAATGGTTCGAAAATTAAAGAAGCGATTTGATCAAAACCCACGTCGCAGTGGCCTGAACATATTGCACTATTCCATTCGGCAAATATTGAAAAATGAGCTCGGGGTAAAGCCTTTGAAATTCCAAAAAGTGCAAAGGAAATAGACTCGAAATAGCTAAAGAGTTGCTTCGCTTGGCCGAAAGTGGTGAACTACCGAATTTGGGTTTCTCCGATGAGAAAAAAATTCGTTGTCCAGCAGTTTTTAAACAAAGGCAAACAAAATGATCCTGTTTTCTTGCCATGGTAATGAGATGGTCCGCCATAACAGCCAATGGTCGCTCTCCGCTCGTTTTAATCGACCGTTGCATCAGAATAAATGTCGAATATTATCGCGAAAATATTCTCGAGGCTTGGGCACGCAAACATTTTGGCCGCAGACCTTGGAAATTCTAACAGGACTCAGCACCATCGCACTTAGCACGCGCCACCCAAGAATGGTTACAAAATGAGGATACCACCAAAATCTCCGGATACAATTCCGTTGGACTATTGTGTCTGGAGTATTTTGGAAAGCAAGGTTGGCACTGAAAATTACCAAAGTGTCGATCACCTCAAGCAAGTGCTTCGCCGGGAATGGGACAAAATACCGCAGAGCAACATTCGGGCAGCTTGTGAAGGGTTTTATTGGCCGTTTGAAGGTCATAATTCGTGACAAAGCTGACCAATTCGAACAAATCTAAACTTATTCTAAAATTTGATGCTATTTCCGTTTGACTTTGTTGCAGATTTTTTCATAGTGGGTATATTCTACTTCACATAATTTCCCCATTACCATTGTTATGGCTAGCTCTGGTAAATATGCATAGTTGTGTATCATGTGGACGACCTGTCGGACTTTTGTCCTTTTTTTAATTTTTTTTTTTTTTTTTTTTTTGACAAAAGTAAAGTTTTTTTGATCTCCAATTTTTCATATGCAGGTCCTTAAAGCTATAAACAAATATTTTTTTTTTTTGCAACGCGATCTGACGATATTGTCTTAAAAAGTCCACAATTGGAGCAACCGGGGAAGACATTGAAAACATTTTAAAAAATTGTTTCAATTTACAATTTTTGATGTAGAGCTCTTCAAAGAATTTTAGATTTTTTTTACATTTCCGACTTTCCAATTGGAAGCCTTGAGACGAATGCAAAAAAAAAAAAAAAACATTTGTGTTTGGTAGTCCTTGAAGGCTTTCAAATATAATTTCTATTTCATGATTTTTGATTGAAGAAAACCGTTTACAGTTTTTTTCAATTGACAATTATTTTAGGAGAATCCACGATTCTTGGCTAGAAAGTTGACATATATCTCAAAAAAAAAAAACAAAAAATATATGCTTGATCAGGAGGTGTTTTAAAGAAAGCTGGTCGGTCCCCATCTTATCGAATTTAAATATTTTCAAAAAGAGAAATAAATGAAATATTGAGATATTGAAAATATTGGGATTTTCGTAATTTGAAGAGATTTTGGAAACTATTTCTTATTTCATGCGAGTTGCAATAATTTATAATTTTTTGTAGGCACCATTATTGTTCCTTTTCCTGCATGGCTTAGTTCCGATAATAATGAATGAATGAATGAATTTGGTCCAAAAATACCGATAACGACCATTTTGGTCTATCAAATGATATACCCCCTTAGTAGCCATGAGGTTTAAGGTATATAGATATCCACTACATATTTTTGTAGTTAAAAAAATTCAATGTTACGAAAGTTCCGCACTTAATTTTCACACTTAAACCCTAACCATTATTCAATTAAAAACTATAAAATAAAAAAATAAAACAATTTACAACTTACCCCACGGTGGTGATGACACCACTTTTATTATCGATGGCAAACTGCCACTGTGTCTCATTCGCCAGGGTGTACAGCAGGCGGGCATTAATACCCAAATCATCATCGCTGGCCTTGATGCGCAACACACTTGTACTCACCGACACATCTTCGGCGACACTTGTCACATACTTGGCCTGTTCGAAATGGGGGTCATTATCGTTCTGATCCTCCACCAGAACGGTGATGTTGCAGTGGCCCTGATAGCTGAGCGGGGAACCGCGATCGGTGGCTTGGATTTGGAGAATATAACGAGATTGTTGTTCACGATCCAAGGGGCGAGCTGTCAGTTCGCCGGTGTGCATATCAAGGCTGAATTTATTGCCAGTGTTGCCACCTGTTGTTCAGAGAAGAAAGAAGGGAGGGAGAAGAAAAAAGATAAATTAAATGACATTATCAACCATAAAAAATTTATTTTCAATTTAATCAACAACAACTTAGTTTCAGCCATCAAACACTTACCAATAATGCTATACACAATCTCCCCGTTGGCTCCCTCATCCAAATCGTCGGCCACAATTGTGTGTATTACCGCCAAATCACTGTTTTCCGGCACCGATAGACCATAACATGAGCCCGGTCTAAATTCCGGTGCATGATCATTAACGTCAGTTATGGTTATATGCAAAGTGGCAACATCAAATTGGCCATTTTGTGCCGTTGCCGCCTCATTCACCGATGAACGTTGCTGGCGACGAGCAACGGCTGCTGCTCCTGCTGCTGTTGTTCCTCCAATGCCGGCTGCAGCTGTCATTAGATTGGCATTTAAACGCTTGGCATCGTAAACATAAATTGGCAAAATGTATGAAGCTTTTGTTTCACGATCAAATTGGCCGCGTGTTGTGACAATGCCACGTTGGGTGTCAACATGAAAATGATTATCGGCGACACCTGTTGGTATCTCATAGGTGAGATTTGCTATAGAAAAAAATGGAAGAGAAGAATCGAAGAAGAGGTGACAAACCAACGAATGAATGAAAGGGTGAATGGTGGTGGCTATAAGAAACCGTTAATTGTTATTTAACGCTCTAGCCTTTAATAGAGCTCGGAACGGTATTTTTTGGTGTCGAACTAAAGGAAGAAGGTAAAAATGTTAAGACGTGACAATTTTTTTCTTCATTGTTTCATATCTTTTTGTTGGGTTTGTTGACTTTTTAGATGGATAGCAGTTATGCAGATGTTGACATTTTGATGGACAAGACATGAGTTCTGGAAGCTCTTTTTTTTGGAAAGTTTGTTTTATTTCTATGGGAATAATAATTATTTTTTTGATCGAATAGATAGATGTTTGCCTCATAAAAGAGAAGAAGATTGTTTATCTAGACCAGCGGTTTAAATATTCGATTTTGCCGACAGATGTTTACCCTCAGCCATAGTACCCTTCACTATAGTAAGGAGGGTATCTTAAGTTCGTCATTCCGTTTATACATTTTAGACCGAAATTTACATTTTAGACCCTACAAAGTATATATATTCTTGATTAGCATAAAATTCTATATCGATTTAGCGATGTCCTTAAGTCTGCCTCCATATAATGGTACTTCCATATATTCTGTATTTTGACGATTTTAGCGGCATTCTTCACCGGAATTGTTTCAAATTTCGTATTTGAAGTTCCTAATGGATACTGGAATCTATAACAGACAATTGATTATGCAGGTCTACGCTTCCGTATAGCCCCCAAATAATGGTTCTTCCCCACATTCGGTCTTTGGATGACTTTAGCGACATTATTCACCGAAATTGTTTTGTTTTGTAGTTCGTTATGGGTACTACAATCTGTGACAGAAAATTGTCTATGCAGGTCCACGTTCTCGTATAGGCCCCATATAGCTATACTATTAGGTAACAACTTGACTATGCAGGTCCACGTCTTCGTACAAACCCCAATATAAAGGTAAATCCCTATATTCGTTATTTTTATGATATTAAGCCTATTTTTCAACGTATTTTTTTTTTTTTTTGAAAATTTCCAAATTTCTTCCAAATGTTGAAGGTTATTGAACGTTCAATCCGGCTGAACTTACTCCTTTTTTACTTGTCATACTTCACCTAATACAAATAAAATATTGGTATCGGCAAAATTAAAAGAAAATCGAACATTTATATCCAATTTCATACGAAGGCATAAATTTCATATTCATCTCATATTTCTGGTTGAGAGTAGTATTTAGATAAAGCAAGTTGGAAAGAATAGCTGACTTGATAAGAGTATTGATAATTGTGACCCTTTGTGGGTGAGGTACCAGAAGGGGTTCCCAGAGACATACCATCTTTGCAACAAATCTTGAGCGTTTTGTTTTTCAAAATCTTGAACCCTGTGGGGGGAGATACCAGAAGAAATGGTCCGACCTGTGCCACCTTTATAACATATCATGTGTTGAAGGGAATATTGTTATTTATGAGGTCTGAAACGAGTCGGATGTTAATTTCGAGTTAATTTAGGTTCATGAACATTCAAAATTTTGACGTTGACCTTTGTGGGGTAGGTACCAGAAAGAGTGGACCGATATATTCCATTTTCACAAAACATCTTGTGTTAGTAGAAATAATGGGATGTGTAAAATATGAAGAGTACCGGATGCTTATTTCGGATTTTATAATCGTTTTGGTTATTCAAAACTTTGACTCTTTGTGGAGGTGGTACCAGAAGAAATAGTCCGATCTCTACCATCTTTATAACAAATATTGTGTTAAGCTTCTTGAATATTCAAAGTTTTTAGAAGTATAATTTGAGAACACATTTTATAAGAATTATTATTCCCAACTTTGACCTTTTTGGCGGGAGGTATTTGATGGGGTGGACCGATATTGCCCACTTTCTCACCTTACCTAGCATTAATACAAATATTAGGATGTGAAATGTTGGAGCAAAGTCGCAGCGTGCATTATCTTTCTGTGCAGAAAAATAATTTCTTTGAAAATTTCCACCTTTGTGGGGGAGAGTGCCCTTCTCCGAACTCTATCTATGTTTTACAATAATATTACCATGCACCGATGCAGGTTTGGGCCAAATCGGATACTCCCTTCGAGAGTTATCGTGCGCCCAAGCCAGTCAGACAGACGAACGGAGGGACATCGCTTGATCGACTCCAAATGTCCTGAAACGGATTTGCTCCAAAGAGATCTAGGGTCTAAATCCGTTATTTCGATAAGGCACGTTTTGGCCATATGGCTGAGGGTATAAAAATACACGTTGACTTTTTTAATAGCCTCCATCAAAACTTCCTCGAAAATCAATAGTCCTTGAAAAAAGGTAGCAGAATGACTGACGTTGACTAGTCTTTTGGTCATCCTTGTATTTATAAAAATACAATGTTTCAGCTCCGGATATGGTTATACCTCTGATAATCCTTGTGAAAATATACTTAGAAAATATCCGGGAAAAATATTCGTTGATTGGTCTAATAATTCTTTAAAAATTATCCCTTGAAATAAGCTGGCTATGTCGTGGGGGTCGTGTCGACCATGTGATACCCTACAATACTAAAATATGGCAGAAGCCCCCTTTATGCCCAAATCTATTTTGGAAGATTTCGCTTTTGAAATTATGTCATAGAGCACTGCTTAGATGATATCTTTAGCTTTTTGACCAGGGACATATGCCCGATATTTACGCACTCCGTCGTGCTGTTAGTGGTTGTGATCCATTTTGCAGCTAAATATAATTCAATGGTCATCCAAAATGCTAGACTTTTTCCCTGTACTTAACTCTTTTCTCATGCAAAAATCCGTGCTCCAATTGGTTTCAATTGTGTGATTAGGAAAATTTTTCTGTTTTTGATTCATTTGAACCCCTAAATATTTTGCGAGAAGTGGTCCAAGTAGTGGTCCATCATTCTCGCTGTTCTAAACTTTCACTTCATACGAGATTTCGTGTCCTTTGTTTTCCATTTGTAACCTTTATAATGGCTGCAAAATCAGGTCCAGGTTATGGTACTTTTCACCCAATAAACATTACCCGATGGAGGACTTCTGCTCAGCCCTAAGCACTAGCTCCATGCCAACTTCCGCGTTGATTGGTCTATAAATGCCACCTCTAGAGCAACGGCAAATAATGACATTTTTCAGTTTTTGATCCATTTCGACCTCCCAAGTATAATGCGATCATCTCTAAAAGCAATAGGCTGCTATTCTGACCATAAGTAAAACAAAAAATATGCCCAAGAAAATATAAATATGTCCCAAATATTCTCTTAAGAATCCTGAAATATTTTTAAAAATCTACCATCTTTAAAAATGTCCTTGAAAAGATGCAACGAAGCCTTCTTTAATTCTTGAAAAAAAAAAAAAACATTCATAAAAATTCCAAGATTCTAGTTCGGATAGGCATTTAAAAATACATGAAAAAATCTACTCTTCCAGCTCTTATAACCCTTAAAAATGTTATTAAAAATTCACGTCTCTTACCTTGATAGATCTTTAAGAATTTAATTTAGAAATTGACGATTTTAATTTGTGAAACATTCAAAAATATCCTCAAACATCTAAAATTCTCCGATGGCGTCAGAAATAAGCTCATACTGAAGAATGGCAAGATGTTCGCTCAATTGGTCTGTAAACGTGATATATAAGACTATATTTCCTAACACTACATTGTCTCCACAAAAAATCATGCTCTAACTAAAAATTCCAATGCATGGTGAAACATTCCATTTAAATCCTGACATATTCTCCAAGGACATTCATCCCAAAAGAAAAGAAAATTTAAATTGAGCTCTTTTTTTATTGCACAGATTTATATCTAGCACACAAAAGAAAACAAATTTAGCTCGAATTTAATGTATCCTTTAAGCAAGAGTTTTTCCAATTTCCATTCCCAAGATAAATTCCTACCGTATTTCAAAATTATTTTTGAGTCATTTAATTTACCTTCTTCCATAAAAATTTCAAATATTTTTATTTAAAAACATTAAAAAATATTCACTTACCATTTTCCCCACCATTTAGCGACTTTGCCGTAACTTGCAGCACAAAGCTTCCAGCTGGTGAGTTTTCCGAAATATTTGCATAATACATGGACTGAGTAAACCGTGGTGGATTTGATTTGGTGCCACGTATCAGAATCTCCAATTTCATTCGCGATGATTTCTTTTCCAAATCACCATGATCTTGGGCCTTTACCAACAACTCGAATTTATTACGATTCAAAGTTGTTACAGGCAAACGATTATCGGAATTACTCGACGAACTTAAGGGTGGTAGAGTCTTGACAAGATCCAAGGACCCCGATTCCGAGTTCAGGCGAAAGTAACCCAACTCATTGCCATTCTCAATGGCATATGAGACCCGACCATTATTGTTGGAATCTTTATCGGTGGCCACAATTTGTAGCAACTGATCCCCAATACGTTTGCTGTCCGTTATGGTTATAACAGCTGAGGGTATTTCTTGTTTACTTATCACTCCATAACGATTACGATTCTCCTTTTGCACTGAGGGTATAACAAATTCCGGTTCATTGTCATTTTCATCTAAGACTTCTACGACAGCTGTCACTGTGCTATGCAGCCGTTCACTTTTATTCTCTGGCAAATCATAGGCCTGAACAATGAGTATGTATTCCTTGATGGTTTCATAGTCCAATGGACCCATCAGGGTTAGGCCTCCCGTTAGTATGTCTACCATAAAAAGATCGGGTTGTTCCATGGGAGACACTGGATTGCCATCCCCTCCTAAGTTTATACTCTTTGGACTGTATTTAAGTAATTTATATTGCAGACGTCCATTCAACCCTGTATCCATATCTGTGGCAGTGAAATTATATAGCACCGAGCCCTGGGCTGTCGATTCGCTGGTTTGTATTCGAATTGGGTCTTCAGTCCATATGGGTGCATTATCATTGACATCGGTTATTTCGATTTTCACAGCAATGGCACTACTGTGGGGATTGTTGCTGGCACTGGTGTCGAGAGCTCGCACCTCTAGACGAAATTCGGATTGTTCTTCACGATCCAGTTGTCGAGCCACAACTAATGACCCCGTATGGCGATCTATGTCAAAAGCTCCCTCTATGAAATCTTTGGAGACCGCTGTCACGGTATAGGTTATATAAAGATTGTCTTCGTTGAATATCATGTTCCGCTTACTACCATCTGTGCCATCTACATAGCCAACTACATGGCCAATGGCGGCGTTTTCAGGGACCTGAAAAAAGAACAAAGATAAATATTAGTTATTAGAATTAAATTAATTTATTTATTTAATTTTATTTATAAGTAACATAAACATAATAAATAATATAAGTACAGATTGCGATGAAAAAACTGCAACCAACTTCAGACTGCTTTCACTTCTAAACCACTCGTCCGACAGCTCTTAAAACTATTCCACTGACAGCTCATTATATTGTTTACAAGCCAACAAAAGCATTTTGGTGAGAGTTTTCCAGAAAAAAAGTTATTCGTGATGGAATTCAAGCGTGATAGTGTGATATCTTTATATTTGGCTGGAAAACCACAAGTGCCTACTGCTAGAGCACCCTAGCATTTGAATGTGAATAAATCTTTTGTGTCTCGTACCATCGCTCGTTACCGTGATACTGGTAGCGTAGCCCGATGTCAAGGAAGTTGACAGAGGAAAACAGGAACATCAGCAGGTATGGTTTGAAAAGTAAAGAAGCGACTTGATCGAAACCCGCGTCGCAGTGGCCGAAAAGTGGCTCGTCAGCAGAACGTATCGCAATATTCCATTCGGCAAATATTGATAAATGAGCTCGGGGTAAAATCATTGAAATTCCAAAAAGTGCAAGAACTTACACCGCAACAGAAAGAAAATAGACTCAAAAGAGCTAACGAGTTGCTTCGCTTGGCCGAAAGTGGTGAACTGCCCAATTTGGGTTTTTCCGATGAGAAAACATTCGTTGTCCAGCAGTTTGTAAATAAACGAATTGATCATGTTTACTTGCCAAAGAGGTCAGCTGAAAATTTGCACCTTCGGTTGGCCACCAGAACTCAAGCACCGGCTATGGTGATGGTGTGGGCCGCCATAACAACCGATGGTCGCTCTCCGCTCGTATTAATCGACGGAATAAATGTCGAATATTATCTCGAAAATATTCTGGAGGGTGTATGAAAGCCTTGGGCACGTGAACATTTTGGCGGAAGACCATTCCAACAGGACTCAGCACCATCGCACTCAGCACGCGCCACCCAATAATGGTTACAAACTGAGGTTCCTCGCTTCATTTACAGTGCACAATGATGATGGTGTGGGTTGCCATAACAGCCGATGGTCGCTCTCCGCTCGTATTAATCGATCGTGGCATCAGAATAAATGCCAAATATTATCGCGAAAATATTCTGGAGGGTGTACTAAAGCGTTGGGCACGCAAACATTTTGACCACCGACCTTTGACATTTCAAGAGGACTCAGCACCATCGCACTCAGGACGCGCCACCCAAGAATGGTTACAAAATGAGGTTCCTCACTTTATTTCTAGCGCACAATGGCCACCAAAATCTCCGGATACCAATCCGTTGGACTATTGTGTCTGGAGTATTTTGGAAAGCCAGGATGGCACTAAAAAATAACAAATACCAAATCAAAGTGTCGATCACCTCAAGTAAGCGCTTCGCCGGGAATGGGCCAAAATACCGCAGAGCAACAATCGGGCAGCGTGTGTTGGTTTCATTGGCGGTTTGAAGGCCATAATTCGTATCAAAGGTGACTAATTCGAACAAATCTAAACATATTCTAAAATATGAGGCTATTTCCGAGATTGAATACCTTCCACCAGTTGCAACGAATTTGGAAATTTTCAAATAAAAAATCCGTTAAAAACTCTGTTAAAATCTTAAGAATACCGATTATAGACGTTATATTGGGTTTTCTACAACGTGAACCTACATAGGTATTGTTTGTCATAAGCCATTACCATATTCAAATTCGTAACTTGAAATAAACGGTGAATAATGTAGCTATAATAATCAAAATACCGTATATAGGGAGATACGGTTATATCGGAGCTATACGAAGATGTGGACCTGCATAGACAATTTTCTGTCACAGGCTGTAGCATCCATTACGAACTTCAAATACGACATCTCAAACAATTTCGGTGAGTATTGTACCTAAAATCGTCAAAATACCAAATGTACGGAGGTAGTATATATGGGGCCTATACGAAGACCTCGACCTGTATAGAAAATTTTCTGTCACAGACTGTAGTATCCATTACGAACTTCAAATACCAAATTTGAAACAATTCGGATAAATAATGTCGCTAAAATCATCAAAAACCGAATATAGGGAGGTACCGTTATATGGGGGCTATACGAAGACGTGAATATACATAGACAATTTTCTGGCTTAGGCGGTACTATCCATTTTGAACTTCAAATAGCAAATTTGGAACAATTTCGGTCAATAATGTCGCCAAAATACCGAATATCGTGAGGTACCGTTATATGGGGGCTATATGAAAACGTGGACCTACATGGTCCATTTACGAACTTAACCCGCATAATGGCAAAATAAACATGTGTGCAAAATTTTAGCATTCTATCTCAATTCGTTCGAAAGACTCGTTCGTGATTACAACAGACAGACGGACATCGCTAAATCGACTTCGAATTTTACGCTGATCAAAAATATGTTTATGTTGCTTTGTTGGGTCTGACATGAGTATTTCGATGAGTTACAAACAGAATGTTAAAGTTAATGACAAAAATGCTCCACCCTCCATAATAGAGTGGAGGATATAGAAAATGTAAAAATTATGGCGTTTGACTTTTTTGCAGTTTTTTTTATCTCAACCCTGTATGTAATATAAATATAATTAATAATATAAATAAATATAAAATAATAATTTAATTTAAATTAATTGTTCTATAATCCCTTTAATAAACCCCCCTTCCATTTAAAATAATCCAATAGGAATTATTATTTCATCCCATACAAACATAATTCCCTTTTGTATTTAATCTAAACTTTTCTTATTACAAATTCTCCATCCTAATTCTCATTTTATCCAATCCAAATATAATTCCCTTTCCCCTTCCTTCCATACATTCATCTTTATCCAAAATTGCCACCACATTTATGGTCGAAAATACGAGATGTCCATTCCATTTATAAATTTTAAATTAATATTTCTTGTTGGCATTTCTTTTCCTCTTTTGGTCTGATTATAATTGCCGGCACCGTTTAGCCGGTCATTATATTTTGGCAATAAAGAGTAGTAATTTAAATACTTTATTGTAATGCCGATTGTTGTTTGTTTTTTTTTCGTTTTAAATTATTATTGCAAATTATATTATCCAATTTAAAGCTTAATGAGATGATGTTCTCACAAAACGATGACAACAATAATAATAACAAAAAATAATTATTTTTTAAATTATATGGAAGTTTGCGATGAGGTTCAAAGGAAGGAGAGGGAAATTGATTTTAAATAAAATTCATGAAAATAAATGAGTATGTGAAGAAATGTAAGGTTTGTAGAACACAGTAGAACAAAAAAAAAAAAAAAAAACAAATTAATAAATAAAAAATAGATGTCGCAAATATGTGTGGATCATATAAATATCAATTATTGGTTTCAATTTCAAGTCCCATACCCTACATGAAGACTGTGGTGGTATTTCCCAAGATTTAAATATTTTGTATAAAACTCATAAGTTTCAAAAAAAAAAAAAAAAAAAAAAAAATCAATCTCGGAACCTCTTCTCTCACAGCCAATATTTAAAAATAGAAAACTTGTTACTATTTAATTTAAAAAAAAAAACTTGAAATATCAAAAGGTGTTCCTAAAAATTTATTTTAAGATAAGAAGGTTCATTCATTGAAAACGGGAAAATTATTGCCAAAATCTGAGCCATCATTAACCAGATTCTGACACTGGAGTTCGACTCCAAAATAATTTATTCAATAAGAAAAATCTAGATTTCAATATCAATTTTGTTTCAAGAAAAAAATACATTTGCGAAAAGAAGTAAATTATTTGAAAAATTACAGGAACAATTCCGCATATTAGTAGAGCTAAAAATATCCCATATTTAATTATAATTGATCCCTAGCGGGTTAGGTATCAGAACGCGTAGGTAAATACATATTATATGAGATCTTGTGTTGAGGTTTATGGGTATTCAAAAATGTAACCCTTTATAGGGGAGGTACCATAATATAGTAGAGCTGGTGGATAGAAAATGTGAAATTTTAGGACAATCCAACTCTTCTTTCACATTTCATAAGAGTTATGATAATTCAAGATTTTAACCCTTTGTTTGGGAGGTACCATACAATACCACATCAGATCTTGTGTTAGCAGAAATATTGAAGTAAGAAAAAATCATACGCTTATTTCGTATTTTTAAGCATTTTGGTTAACCCCTTTGTGGTAGAGGTACCAGAAGGAGTTAACCAATGTTTAAGATCTTCACACCAGATCTTGTGTTAGTAAAGGTATTGGGATGTGTGAAATTTGAAGAAAATCGAATGCTTAATTCACATTTTATGAAAGGTGTATTAATTATTCAAAATTGTATCCCTTTATGGGAAAGGTACCAGAAGGATTGATCGGAGGTCCGATTTATAGAAATATTTAAATTTGAGAGTTTGAATGTGACTCCGTCCGTGTTATCCCTTCTCTATACCACATCGTACTTTGATTGGAATATTGAGTGGACCGATATATCCCAATGGATCTTTTGTTGGTGGAAATAATGGGATGTGTGAAATATAAAAAGAACCTGATGCTTATTTCGGATTTTCCAAACGTTTTGCTTATTAAAAACTTTGACTCTTTGTGGGGAAGGTATCAGAAGGAATGGTCCGATCACTATCGCTTTTTTTTAACAGATCCTGTGTTAATAGGAATGTTTAGATGTGCCAAGTCTAAATGGAATCCGATGTTAATTTCGCGTTTTATGAGTTTAATCGATATTCAAAATTTCGACCTTTTGTGGGGGAGGCAAAATCGGATTATCGTTTCTCTTTCTGTGCAAAAAAATATATATTTTTTTTAAATTTCGGCCATTTGTGGGGGAGGTACCAGAAGAAGTGGACCGATATCTTTCATCTTAAGACCAGACATTGGGTTAATGTAAATATTGGGATATGTGAAATTTGAAGACAATCGGATTCTTACATCACATTTTATGAGAGTTGTAATTTTTCAAAATTTTGACCATTAGTGGGGGAGGTAC